CTCTCAAGTGGTCTCTCTGGACTAATCCTCACGTGGAAGGACCAACTTCCACAAAGCAGGAGGAGGATTTTTCCTGCTCCTTGTTCTTGCCTGTGCTTTTTTTATGGCATTGGCTGGTATTCCTTGAGTTGGGAGCTCTGGAGATGTGAGGCAGCACAAACTGTCCTGGCTGTGGTTGTGAGAAAGCTCTCCAAGTCTCAGTCCCTGAATTACAAGGCCAGGCCTTACCACAGGATGCTCCCATAGGAGCACCAGGGAGAAATGTGGGACCTTTGGATTTTATTCTCAGCCTTATTTGACTGGAGCTGTGGGAAGACAGCAGGATATCATTTAGCTGTGAGAATCTTTTTGCCTTGGGTTACTCTTCCAAAGCTAAATCATTATTAAGGAATAGTTCTGCTGTTTCCCCTGTCCTGCATACCTGTGCTTTCCTTAGGCTCATGCAAGCTGTTCTCGACCACGCAATTCCATACCTGCACGTCAGAGAAGCATTTGGACAGAAAATTGGCCACTTCCAGGTGAGGCAGAGGAGGAATTTTTGTCCTCTTTTCTCTTCAGAATGGGAACACCAAGAGCTTTGTTGTGGGGAGAGGGGCTTTGCATGGAGTCTGTGCTAGGGCTGCATGACGTGAGGACGGTCTCGTGGAAGGTTCCCAGCCCATGGCAGGGGAATGGAACTGGGTGAGCTTTAAGGCCCCTTCCAATGCAAACAATTCTGGGATTCTAAGATGTGGTGAGAAGGCGAAGGGATCTCTGAGCCTGCTCCCCCAAGGCTGCTGTGGGGGGTGAGGGGCTGTGGCCGATATCTGGGAGTGTCACTTAAGAGAGCCTGCAGCTCCCTCCTGGCTGCTGGATCCGTGTCCTTTCCCGTGTCTAGTGTGGGGTGGGTGAGCCCCTCCTCTGTTAACTGCTGTGCTGAGCGTGTCCTGTGTGTGCAGCTCATGCAGGGGAAGATGGCAGACATGTACACGCGGCTCATGGCGTGCCGGCAGTACGTCTACAACGTGGCCAAGGCCTGTGACCAGGGCCACTTCAACGCCAAGGTGAGCTCAGCTCCCACCTGGGCCGGCTGTCCTGGGGCAGTCCCTCTGGTCCCAGAGCCCAGCCCGGGGGGAAGCTCTCTACAAGCATCCCTCCCAGCCCAAAGGGCCATTTTCCACTCCCAAATGAAAAGCAAGGCAACAGCTTTAGCAGCATCAGAAGGTGTTTATTGGAAGCCCAAACACCTCTCCTGGCTGCTGTAAGGGCTGGAGCAGTCGTTGGGGGTGTTGTCTCCTCCACAATGTCACCACGCCTCTGTCAGAGGAGGGGACTGAGCGTTTAACAGCATGAGCACAGAGCTCTGCATCCCAAATCAACTCACGTTGGGCTCCTGGGGTTTGATGGGTGTCTGTGAGAGGCCAGCTCGCCTGGTGCTCTCTCTTAGTCTCTTTTTTCTCCTCTTTCTGTCTTCATGAGGCATTTACAGACCTGCCTTGAGTGTTGGGCGATGACAGGGACACTGCTGCAGCCCCCTGTGCCCTGGGATTGTGTGTTCAGGGTTCTTAGCAGGTGTAGAGCCATGGCAAGGTCAGGGCAGCAGGGCCCCCTCTGCTGACTGTGCCCTGTGTCCCGCAGGACTGCGCGGCGGTGATCCTGTACTCGGCAGAGTGCGCGACGCAGGTGGCCTTGGACGGGATCCAGTGCCTGGGTGAGTCCCTGCCGGCCCCACCAGAGAGCTCTTGTCTCTCCCACCCCACCCTCCACCCCTGGAGTGGGCACCGGGGCTGACGATGGTTTGTTGTGGGCGCAGGTGGCAACGGCTACATCAACGACTACCCCATGGGGCGGTTCCTGCGCGACGCCAAGCTCTACGAGATCGGGGCGGGCACCAGCGAGGTGCGCAGGCTCGTCATCGGCAGGGCCTTCAACGCCACCTTCCAGTAACGTCCCCGGGGCAGGGGCAGCACCGGCACCACGAGGCCTTGAGCATGAGGCTGGAGCGCACAACTGCTTCCCGCTTGACGTCCTGGCGCTGCCACCCATGGACTCCCCTCCACCCGCTTTGGCAACAGAGGCTGCTGGGCTGGGCTGGGACAAAGGAATCGGAGGGTGGCATGGCAGGAAAAGGGTTTTATCTCGTTGTGGTCATCCTGATTCACACTCTTCATGAGCTGTTGATCCTCAGCATTGCAGGGCTGAGGGTTGTCCCCCCACCAGGACAGACTGGCGAGGGCTGTGCAGCCATTGCTGAGCACAGAAAGTCAACCCAAAAAAGCCAAAACAGACAAGGAGGGAACAACTTTATTCTTTTCCAAAAGTGCCATTAACTAGTTAGCATTTAGCATATTGCCACTGGAAGGTGGAACTTCCCACTGTGCCCTTCCAGTGGGATTAATGCCTTCCATTTTTGGAACTCGACGCCAGCATCGTGGGGTGGCTGCTCATCAATGCTTAACATCATCCATGCTCAGGCAGTGTTTTAGGTGCTGATTCCTAAAGCCTCCTTAAATCCCACATCTGTTTGTTTGCAGAATTCCTTTCTATTTGCAGAATTCTTTTCATATTCTGGCTGCTTCTGGAGGCATTTCGGTGAGCCCTGAGTCCTTGCTGTGCTGACCAATGGCTCCCACTGGGTCATTCCCTCAGAGGTGCCACCACTCATCACTCTGGTGACAGTCAGACCTGTATTGTGACATCTGTGCATGAAGCAGGCAGGAGGAGTTGACTTTTTGGGGGGTTTTGTTCTCCGGGGGTTGTTGTTTTGGCAAAGCCTGTTCTCACACTCCACCTCCAGCTGGGGCGAGCGCAGGGTGTTTGGGGGTGATCCCAGTGTATATTTTGTACAGCAGACTGAGGTTGATCCAGCTTTGTTAAAGGAAATTGCACAGTGTCCTGCCAGCCTTAAAAGAGTGAATCACAAATCAAAATGGGATGCTGGAAGTATGATTGAACAGTTAATTAATTAAACAGTTGCCATGTAGGCAACTCCCAGCAGTTTTAACAGAAATCACCTTGAAGTGTGTGTGTTTTTTGGTTGTAGTTCACACCTGTCCATACCAGGGGACAGACTGACACACAATTTTAAAATGCCACAGATTGAAGAAAATTCACTTTCCTCAGTCACCAGGTAAGTCAACAGGAGTTTATAAAAGTCACAAGGAGCCAGAAAGAGCTTCTAAAGTTCTGGTGGCAGCACCTTCTTCCTAAACTTGGTATTTACTCAGCCTCAGTGGGCCTTCACTTCGGAAGCATCCCAGGGTTTAATTTTCAGCCTGAATCTCTGGATGGGGGATGGACAGAGGTGGCCTGTCAGGAATATCTCACTGAGCTGCACCAAATGCTGTGAAAGTGAACCTTGAGGTGCACGTGGGAAACACTCAGTGCACTGTTGTACAGGGCTGTAGGAATTTACTCACATGACCAGACATTTATGTTTTATCAC